AAACTCACATTACTTTCGATGACAGATGTGGTGGTTTAATATTGGCGACGGAAGAACCTCGGTGAACTCGTAGCATCGGCATATTTTCCTTTGAGAGGGCATCCGGATGGTTGATCAAATAACTTTTCGCACTCTTATTGGCATTCGCTGTCACCTGCATCATACCGGAGTAGATGCTTTTAGTGGCAGCTCGTGCGGCGATGTAAATACGGAAGTAAACAAATATCACGATGACCATTGGCACGTAGAAGCTGCTCGATGCACTAAAGGTTATATAGGCGCGTCCGGCATTAGCGGGTGTACATTTGCATGGCTCTTGATTCACATCCTTGATTGAGGAGGCTAGGAAGAAACTCGGACTGCAGATGAGAAATGACACGATCCAGACGACGGCAACGGTGCAGCGAGCACGGAATTTCGTCACTAGCATAGGATAATTGAGTGGCTTGATTATCGCTATGTATCGGTCGATGGAGATGGCGACAAGGTTGTAGATGGATGCTGTGCACATCCAGATGTCCGTGGTTAGCCAGATTGTGCACCACGTTTCGCCGAATATCCAGTAGCCATTCAAGACTTCATTAGCGATGCTGAACGGCAGAATGACGGTTCCCACCTGGAAAAATGATGTACTGTGCATGCGCTAACGGAAGGATGGGTAAAAGAACGAACTCCTCCTTTAGGAGGAGCTACGGGTAGAGAACTATACGTCGTCGAAATAGGAGCTTTGCGCGGACATCTGCAACGATTACGCACCTCTTTCAAATGCAAAAAGTGCGTGCTAGTTGCAGATGTTGCAGGACACTTCCGACGGCATATAGTGGACTACCTAAGGACTACTGGTCCTCACACCGCATGCAATCACATGTGCGACAGGACCAGTATCCACGGTGGCAGAACCTATTGGCAAAATTCGTTCTTTTAGCTAAGAATGAACTTACCAGAAGATCAGCCACAGCTAGCGAGAGTATAAGAAGCCCAGTAGCCGAACGCAGCCGCCGTCGGAGCAGAACCGCGGCAATGACGAGCGCATTACCGAGCACGACGACGACTACGAGTACAGTGAGCACAGAAATAATGGAGAAGATTCGAAAGAATTTGGCATGATGGGGATTGCGAGACCACTCGTAAAAGGTGCATGAATAGTTGTGCACTGGGTCAGCAATCATCGTTTAGGGGCGTAGAGGGATCCACTGCGACTCATTGCATTATCTGAAGAGGGGGGATTTTGCGATTACAGGGCAATTACATGACGACAGTAACGCGAAAATGAAAAGAAAAAAGCGAGGATGAAGGAAACTCAATGAAATAGCTGTTTGCTTTGAAAGGAAAAGCAATATGTGCGATTTTTCCGCCTAGGAAGTGTAATACGTTTTTTT